ATGAAATAATAATTTAGTAAAAGGATGTTTCGAATGAATTAAAATCGGATGTTTTTATCAAATGTAAAGTTACCATGTTATAAACGGCCTCCAACACGAAGAATTTTAAAATCATCGTGAAATATATTTAATTTTAGTAACGCGTTTTTAGCAGGTAAGTTTTTATTATTTATTAAAAGTTCATATTCCGGAAAACATTGTGTTTGTGATATTTTGATTATAAAATTTAATGCATTATGCAATTCTTCAGCAGTTAAGAATTAACTTTAATTGATTTTTTCTTACAAATTCGAATAAAGCGTATAACATAAGCTACAGAACGTTTAAGTCGAGATAAATTAGAAAATCTATTAAAATCAATGAATTCATTGTTATTACTTTCTACAGCTATATTTGCATTAATTACAGAACGTAATTCTGGAAGAGTTTCAGAACTAGCGGGATGAGGTGGCCAATGTGACATATCTAGTCTTAAAAGGCTTGGGCCTGACCACCAAATCTCAAGCGACATCAGAGCCTTAGTATTAACACAGACAGCTAGAAATGGTGCACTCGCTGTACTATAGGTCACCGTATTTAATTGATAAATATCTAAATTCTCATCCGTATTATTACGCCAGATGATTCTTTGAAGGTGTCTATCGTCTGGATGCACCGAAATCTGTCTGTACAATTTCTCCACGTCAGCGGACAAAATCTACTTATGCTGCCTAAATCTCAAAAGAATACTTAAAAGATCGTCCTGTATAGTTGGACCGACCATTTGAATTTCATTAAAGGAAACTCCCGTAGTAGTAGGACTACTAGCGTTAAACACGACCCTTAACTTTGTTGTCGAACTACTATCACACCAGACACTATGATGCGGGATAAAATAAGAAAATTCATTAGATTTTAAATTAGACTTGGACATATGGCCTAGTGATAAATATTCCAACATAAAATCATGATATTTAGTTTTTAGTAAAGGCTTATTATTAAAACGACGTTCAAGAGAAGAAACAATGTTTAGCACGCTGATAAGACTCACCTAAAGTTTCAATATTATTTTTTAATGGAATTCTCACGCAAAAGCGGCCATCTGGAAGACGGGAAGTGTTAATAATAAAATGTTCTTCGCACATTTTTTCTTCCTCAGAATAATAGAAGGATTTATTATCAATTTCCTCTAACTGCCAAAATCGTGATAAATTCTCTTGAATAACTTCATTTGAATCTAAAAAATCATTATGAGACTCTATTTGTGCTAAATTACATTTAATATGTGCTGGCGAGCGATTCGATACATGACCGCTAAGCATGGGTCCAGAAACTATCCAACCAAGTTTAGTTTCAAAAAGTATCGGTTTGCCGCTACCTAGCTTAACAATTTGTGATCCTAATAAATCCCAAAAAAGGTCAGCACCAATGATTAAATCAATGTCTCCGGGTGCATAAAATTAAGGGTCAGCTAAATTAATATTAGATTTAATATCTAACATCGAAATGTCTAAATGACTATAAGGCACTTTGCTTATGATCGATGGTAAAACAAAACAAGTAACATTTGTAAAATAATTATTACTTAAAGATTTCATTTGCACACGACACATTTTACCTATTGCAGAGTGCAATTATTTATTCCTGTTACAGAACGATCGACATTATGATAAGGCAAGTTTAATTTATTACACATATTTTCTGTAATAAGACATGATGTACTTCCGGAATCAAGTAACGCACGAGCAATATATTCCTGATTTCTGGAGTCATACAACTTAACAAGAGCTGTTGATAATAGCACATCATGATTACCTTGGTTTGAATTTTTCAAACATGCCGATAAAGAAATATTTGATCTGGAAGTAGAATTCATATTGTTTGAATCACTCTTATCCGTGTTTAATGATCCAGCATTAACTGGTGATTGCGACTTCGAACCTGATACATGGATAAGCGTGTTATGCCGACGTTTACATATCCTACAACCAGGCTTCTTGCATTGGTTTGCATAGTGACCAACATGTAAACAATTGTAACATATTTTATAGTTAGCTAAGAGTTTCAATCGCTGTTCATTATTAAGACCTAAAAACTGCGGACAATTTTTAAGCGGATGCGGATGGGTTTAGGTGTAGATGAGGCTATCGGAGATTTATCATGAGCCTGACTTAGACTTTCAATAGAAACCATGCTTTTAATTTTCGTGTTCTGTTTAATAGACTGGTGAGAATGATTACTACTTCGCGATAACTCTAAGGCCTCTAACAAATCAGCACGATTACGCAAGAAATTTCTAAATACGTCTAGTGTAAGAGGTTCACCCTTACCAAGACGGCTCTTAAGTTCCTCCCATTCGCGATACGTCTTAGTATCTAATTTTTGTATTATAATATGTATCAACAATGTATCCCAGTGTTTAGTCGGTTCGCCTAGAGAATCTAAAGCTCTTAAATTTTTATTTATTTGATCAATTAAACGCTTAATAGACACGGATGACTCTTTAGTAATTAAATCAATGTTGAATAATGCCGTCACGTGATTTTGAATGAGTAATCGTTTATTATCAAACCGTTCGCATAATATCTTCCAAGCAACAGGGTAAGTCTTCGCTGAAAATTCAATGGACTGTATAACTAAGGCGGCAGAGCCCTCTAGTGACGCTCTCAAATAATGAAATTTATTAATGTTGTCAATTGCGTCGTTGGAGTGAATAAGGCTAGAAAAAGTATCATGGAACTCTAGCCAATTATCATAGGAACCGCTAAACTTAGGCAATTGAATAGTTGGTAATTTAACAAGATTATTGTTATTATTAAGCCTCATTGTATTTTTATTACTGTCAGAACTCAAGTCACCTAATCCTGTAGAATGAGCAACTAAATCCTGGGCTTTAGCCATTAATTTATAATACAGAAATTCGAAATCATTTCTTTCCAATAATTGACTTTCCATGTCTTCAGTTGCACATTCCAACCTACACTGTACTTCATCATACTGTTCAAACATGCTGCAAATTTTATTAATACGTAATTGAAGTTCTTTTACCTGAGACTGGCTGACTGACCCATCTAGATTGTTTAAGTAATTTCCAAATAATGTGAGCCGGCCTTTATAGGTTGCACGCCTTTTAATAAGATCTCTTTCTTCTCTTTCCGACATTATGTGAAGCAAGTGTCAAATCCTGGAATGTATACAATTCAAAATATTAAGTATAAATTTAAACAATACTTTACAAGGTTAAGTTAATTGTAACTTAATATAAACTTTACAATAAAACAAATTGTAGTAGTTATATGCTCAAAAGACAAATAAATGAAAGTGTTATTAATTTCTAAATATACAATCAAAGACAAAATTAATGATTCGACTTAAATATATTTTCTATAATCAACACAATCTCTGTATCTAATATAAATTAAGTTTATTAAACATATTCTTCTCATTACATTTAAAATATTTGACAAGGAAATATATACATACAAAGTACTTTAATTACTTATCAAACTTTGCAAGTGAATAAAACTAACATAATTCAATTTACCTTTAGTAATAGGTATTATAATTAGGTTAATCGGGTACTAACAAAGAAAAGTAAATAATTTTTTAGTTAAAACAATCACAAAGTATAATGGAAGGATCTTCCTATTTAAATACAATTAAATAATAAAATAAAGTTAATTGATATGTACTGACCTTTATATAAATCTTAAATCTTTAAATACTACCTGAATATAAGAGTACTGGGTGAAATTAAGCACTGAAATAGCTAAATACTGCAATATTCCATACCACGTCATACATCCAAATCCTTTGTTCTGTGATCCGACGTTTATTGTGATTTCACTTATTTTTCCACAAAGAAATCAGTATCCCTTTATTGTGCTGGTTATTTTTAAGATATACTATCCGGCTCGAAGGACCATGTCCATGAATTTAGTTGTATTTAAATAAAAAAAAACGGAGTTAAGCTCGAGGTCAGTATATTCACTTCAAGGGCGTAATCTTAAGAGCAATAACAAAAAAGAAACTGTGTCGGTAGACATAAAATAATACAGAAAGATTAATAATATGAGCAATCACGGTGCACAATGATGTTGCTATTCAATTTTAACAGGAGTTATTAAATTAACAAGTATAATTAGTATGTGATTTTTAGACAATGTATATTAATATAAAATCAAGTTCTTCAAGTTCTTTCGTCATAACAATAAACTTTCTTCTAGTCAGATTCTGGCAAATGGAGATTCTAGTTAAAAAAATAATATTTCTTAACATACTCACGGTTCTTAAGTTCATTTTTCTTATGTTTCCCAGGGGTCATCCGTTCTTTCCTCTTCACCCTGGGAATAGACCCATAAGCGTTGGTAATATTTTCATTTTGTGTCTTTAAACTTTTCCCCTTCCTGGCTCTGGCTACAGGGACTGGTATCCGTGACCTTGACGTTTTTATTTTTACTACCTGCGACCTTGTCAGCGACGCCGCAATACTTTGCTGTCCTAGTGGGTCTGGAAATTCAAATTTAATCACAATTTTATTTTTATCAATTTTAATCACAATCATTTATTTATTGTATTTATGTATTATATGTACTGCGAATATAATTTTCATAACTTTATTATTTATTTAGATGCATGCCTTTATTCTGACAATTCTGAACATTAATATCAAGTAAGTGTTGCATTAATTCTTTTGTATACTATCCATTAACATGTGACATTTGGTAAAATAATTGCACAATTAAATAATATTCGTCTGTGTATTAGTGTGTGTGTGTATTAGGGTCTGTCTGGGTTCTCCCCATCGTCGAATCTGATAAACCCATCATATAAAACACACTAAATATAACTCAAAATTAAATACATCACACACTTTGCCAATGAAAAGAATATGAGCAGTAATTACTTTTATTTTAAAGTTATAATTTTCTTAAATGAATTCCAACCTGTTATTTAGTTCAATTTCTAAGATATATAAGAACACTTGAATACAGTGTCCCAACTAAGAAATGTTCTCATACCACTTGATAAGTTCTACTGGTTTTGAAGTCGCCGCTGATTCTCCTCTCGCCAAAGCCGGTGGAGTTCTGGCTGCAGAATAGGGCTCGAGAAAAATGGAGTAGGAGGAGCAGGGCTCTTCTTCATAGAACCGTGGGAACTGGAGGGATAAATTATAATAAAAATTAACTAAACAAAAATATCAGTCACTTGAAGTTTAAAACCTTTTTCTCATAAAAAATATTTATTCAGCTTTTGAGTAGAAGCAATTAGGACGTATTTTTTCAATTAAATTCTGAATTGAATTAATTTCTTTTTCATTAAAAACTAGTAAACCTGGCGAACCCCGTTTCGCCACCAGAGGGCTTTTATATAACATTGCCGCGACTTCGTCCGCGTGGAATAGTGACTTCCGGCAGATTTTTGGTTCTTCCCACATAGTTCCCGTTCTTGCGGGGTTTTCGGAATGGTCGAGTTCCCGTAGAATTTTCAGGATAAAACCTATGTTTTTTTTAAATTCAGAATGAAGTACTCTTAACCAACGACATATTTATTTGTTTATTTGAATAAAGATTAATATTATTATGTTGATACAACGTAAACAAATTATTTCGACCAACTTAGGTACCATAAAAACGTTTTTGTGAGTTAATCTTAAAAGATAGACATATACTGTCGCGGACTGTTTTACCACTATATCTTTGCTCCTATTGGTCGTAGCGTGATGTTATATAGCCTACAGCCTTCCTCGATAACTGGACTATCCAAAACAAAAAGAATTATTCAATTCGAATCAGTAGTTTCGGAGATTAGCGCTTTCAAACAAACAAACAAACTCTTCAGCTTTATAATATTAGTATAGATTTTGTTTGGTGATTGAAAGATGAGGGATTTTTTTTTGTTTAATATTTGAAAAGGAAAATTTTTATTTCATTTCACAAAAGTAATGAATTCATTTCGATTACATAAATGAAGTGTTATTTAGTTGAACTTCTCTAAGTAAGTGAAAGTGAATCGAAAGTAGATACCGAATCGAAGTGTTATACGTGTCCACAAATTATGCGTTTCATTGAAGTGCTCCTTTGTAAACCACATTTTTTGTTTTTTGGTCTAACTTTAACACAAATAAAGCGGATTGTTTCCAAACTCGTGAACACGCATAATATAACGCTCATGTGAAAAACAATGATTTTCTAAATTTATCCAGCAAATACTAAATGGTTTTAAGAGTTCAAACTACAAACACAATACCGGTTTGTCACCTGAAATTAACTGAGCAGAGAACAATGAGTAGCTGTCAAGCAATGTATCATGCACCGGAGCCATCTACTTAAAATATTGATTTGTAGTACATGTTATGATGGCGCTGTATGTGAAAAAAGATTTTCCCGCTTTTCTGTTGAAATTTTTTGTTATAAACATCACGGAGCCCGAGACCTTTCCAACGAATGCAAAACCGTGGAAATTGGTTCGTACGTTCTGAAGTTATAGCGTCAGGATGGAAAACAGGACTTATTTTTATATAGTAGATCTCTTACAAATATGTTAATATCGTTGATTCCTACGTCATTGTTAACAAGTTACCGCACTTATAAATGTTAGTATTTAGTTCAAAAATTTATCTGTAATTGCATGGCCAAATTGCTTAATGGAGATTGTTTCACGTCATATTGGTTGCGGAGCGTCTGTCTCCATTGTAGCTTTTAGGAGTAATATTATCGGCGTCTCTAAAGCAATATAAAATATTTGTTTAAAAAAAATATATGCTTAATTTTTTATTATTTTTTTAAATTTTAGGATTAATTTAAAAACGTACTTATCGTAGGGAAACAAAATAAATATTCAACGTGGACAACGTGAATTGTATTCGTTGCTTCTATTAGGTCTTAAGTACTTACCCGTACTCTCTTCTCAGATGTTTCGTAATAGCACCGGCCGCCATTACATACCATGGCGTGATCGCTCATAGCTGGTTGAGTCAGAGTAACACAATATATCTCGAAATACCGCCTAAATGTCAACAATCTGTATATGTAATTCAATATTTTATGAATAAATACAGTATTTTGGATTGATTTTTAAGTTTATAATTATCATTATTTCTTTAATTCTTTAATAATTTATTTGTCACGCTTACACGGCCGTACGTCACCGTCACACGGAGGCCTCTGAAAATCAGTGCTGAGATATTATTATGCCAGCTTTAACTGACGGGGTTTTCCATTTTGGATACCACACTACTTCACAATTTATTTGAATTTTTATTTTAGTCTATTTAATTTTTCTAGCTTTGTGGTAATAAATCTATTTTTGTTTATATAATTTAATTTAGATTAAGTAAAATTAGATGTAAATTATTCTTGTAAGTTAGCTGTAAGCTATTATTATTATTATTTGTATTTTAATATTTCCCTATTGTTTTTGTTATTTATTTTTTACTCATGTTGTGGTGTGATCCAAATAAAGATCTATTTATCACTTTTTTAAAATCGAGCCAATCGTATAAGGAATAAAATTTGGTAATTGTAATCAAAATATAAGAGCACCACATTTTTACATGCCTTAATGTTTCTTAATTTTTTCATTGTAATTTTATTTAAATACAATACGAATGATTTATAAGGTTTCTAACAATTATAAGCTCCCTATCGCCCTTTTGTAGATCATGTTACTTAAGAAACAAAACATTTTAATTTCTAACTCTTTAGTTAGAAATTAAAACATTACCTGGCATCACACTTTTGTGATGCCAGGTAATGTCTTCCAAATTCCAATATTCTTAAAACTTAAAAGCGTTGTCATCGTCGCTTCAAACGATATCGGCGACGATAAATCGTCAAGCGAAGTCACGGCGAAAATTTATATTTAATACGAGATTAGCATAACCATGAGTATTAATTACAGAACCATTTGCCGCGAATAATTCGTAATTTGTTTTATTATACAGACCTCTGACTAACGAACGGGGATACATTCACACATCGCTACCTGTGTCCGCTAAAAATTTTACTTTAGTTCGGTGATCGGTGATAAATAAACGACCTGGATTAGGGTAGGCGTCGGCCGCCATTACGTTCTTCCCTTACGTTTTTCCGTGAAATCACACGGTTTCATGCACTTATTAGCCTCGTCACCGAATTTTGAGTGATACCAACATAAAGGATACTTCCTGTAATTGGACTGGGAACGGCTTGAACGGGAATTACATACCGTGATCACGATGTCTCGAAGCGGGTCTTCTAGATTTTGGTCTTGACATCCTGTCCAATGTGGTGGTCAGCTAGTGCACTTGACGCGTAAGCACCGCGAATTGGCTTGAGAGATCCGCTGAAACTGGAACCGTCGACGTTGATGCCACGTGCGGTGTGACGATATCTTGGATCAACTGGTCACTGGAGCCAACTCGGCTACTTCGTCGAGCGTAGTTTTCGATTACGAAGCACAGAGCTGGCTTTTCTGGGTAAAAGGGTGGTACCCGTACGCCAACACGCTGAATAGCTTGCTACGTACACGTGGCTTCCATCCGGCCGCCATCTTGTCGATCCGGGGTCGTCGGTGAGGTGTAAGGGTTGAATACCTTAGGATTTAAAAGGAGTAATTCGTGCGATACTATATAATTATTATATGCAGCGGTACAAAGCAGGTTACAAAGCGAATATTCAAAGCGGTGGCGCGCGATCTCTGTGGAGTGTAGAGTGCAACTAGTAAGCGACTGACAAGCGTTCAGGTCGAGTGCGCGAATTCCAGTGACGGAGCCATAGATAATACACGATACTAGAATTTAAAATTTGTCCTAATGTCAAATCAATTTGAGAGCTACTTACAACATCTATGAAGTTATAAAGGAAAATAGTGTCAAAGTTGTTCGTTAGATGACTGCATTTTCTATACATTATTTTCTAACACGTTAATTATATGACAGTTTCATCCATGGAGATTTATAACTTCATAGGTATATGGCGTAAGTAGTTCTCAAATTGATTTGACATTAGGACACATTTTAAATTATTTCAGTTGTTTACTGTTGTTCTTGTGCTGTACGTTCTTTTTCAAACATTTGACCCGGATTAATATATCATTGATTCCTATTATAACGCTTTTGACGATCGACCCCGGCTTTTCTCAATTGGACTTTGTTTTCTGCGACTACGATCGACCCCGGCTCTTCTCATTTGGATTTTGATTGCAAACCACGAATTATGATTATCGATATAAAGTTGAAAAAATGCCACGAAAATCGGCTATTAAGTGTTGAATGCGCAAGTTTAAAGTAAACGAAGAGTGACTTAATGCTATTTATTTTATATAGATTACAAATATGTATGTTGCACGTTCAATGTTTCGTTACGCACTGAAGGTTTCTTGACCGAGGTCCGAGTCCCCCGTTCTCGCGTCGTTGCTAGTAGTTTTTATGAGGCGCTTATTTTCTTGATAATTGGCTCTAACAACTGTTATTTCCGGTGTGCGACTAAAGGTACGATACTTATTTAGTAAAATCTAAAAAAATATTATTTGTCATATATATACAATCAATTACTCCTACTTTTGTTACATCAATTGAAACCGTAACAGTTTATTGACTTCTAATAAAAATATTTCAGGTCCTTTTCATCAATTTCCTAAACCTGAATACCCAAATTTGGAGAAATTTATTCAATGGAAAAATATTTTAAACTAGTTTTTGCCCGCGACTTCGTCCGCGTTAATTTCGTCATTAGTAATATAGATATAGCTGACCGGGCAAACTCTATTCCATCTTCAATACCCCGGTATTGGTATTTATTAAATTTCTACTGTTTCAATCGAACAGAATGATTGACATATTAGTTAGTTGTCAAGTCTAATGTCAAAAAATCGTTTGTATGGGAAATAGAAAAGGGCTGTTTTTAGGGTTTTCCCGGCAATTTTTCCATTTTTTCTCACCTTTTAAACCTTCCCTGGACTTCCGGGAGTATTTCAAGACTAAAATTAGCCAAATCGGTTCAGCCGTTCTCGAGTTTTAGCGAGACTAAGGAACAGCAATCCATTTTTATATATATAGAAGATAGAAGATGAAGACATGAAACAAAAGGAAGATTCTTACATTTATAACAAAATAATAGATTATGTGATCGTCATTTTGAACAGTTTTAACTGCCGATAGTACTTCCACCCTGATATAAAATTTGGCACTTAGGCATAATCCGTATAAAAGGGCTCCTATTTTCCGAATTTCTGAAAAGGTCGAAGGAAACCGTTTTCCACAAACGATTGTTTGTACTGACCTAGATTAGCAGCGCCTCTCGGCTGTTACGGTCTTAAAAATTAAACCAATATAATTAATACAATAACAAAAAAGGCAAGTAACCACTTGAATATTTACATTGAAGGAGACATCTTAAAATATTTTATTAGAGAACGAAAAAATAAGAAGTGACCACACTCAAACAATCAACTCGAACATTGCATAATTTCACAACTCTGAAATTAGTTCGTTTAATTATGATCCATTTTCACTTTTATAATAATGTAAAAGGTTTTGTCAGTTCGCCGTCGCACGCGCTAGCGAACGGATCGATAATGGCTACCTCTGTGACGATGTCGGAACATAATGTGAATACGCTAAAATGCGTGAACTGTAATATAGTGATAAGTGAACTGTTATCATTTATACAAAACAAAATTTCGGTAATAGACAATGAAAGTTTAATAAGAATTTGTGTGACTGCTTTTTCTGAAGAGGAGGTAGAATGTGCAAAAAACTTGCTATTTGCTTCTACTAAAATAAACCAGAAAAAAGTATCTAGACGTAAAAATGGAAAGTTACAAAAAGATTTAGAAGACATGATATGTGTTTTCAAAGTCACAGAGCCGTGTTTGATGCCAATTTTTGTGGCTCGTGACTTACAAAAATTACCACCGGTTACCTTCGACCATGTCGATGTCACGAAATTGCTGAAAGATCTGTTGATTATGCGGACAGAAATTGATGAAATAAAAAATAGCTACGCTACTAAGCAACAACTAGATGAGTTAAATTTAATTTTGGAAAAAAACCAACCCCCAGCATCGTTTTTAACATGTAATATTAATTCGAAAAAAAGAGGAGGGTATGTGCTAGACAGTGGGCCTAACGGTCTATTACCGGCTGAGATCGACACAATAACGGAAGGTCAAAGTGCGGAGCGTACGGAGTCTCCAAAGTATCGTCATCTCGCTCACGCTCGGAAGGCTACCGTTGAAAATAAAAAGAATACGTGCACAATGATGAATTCAACGCTAATTGAAAACGTAATATGCACCGATATGATCGAGATGGAGGCGCCGGCGGCCCGCCATACGAATACGGATGTTGAACAACCGACTATGGCCGATATTGCGAAAAAAGGAGAATGGAAAACACAGAATACAAAATCTAGTGAGTGGATTACTGTTCAAAACAAAAGGTACAGGAATCGGCTAGCCGGTAAAACAGGGAAAGCAGCTACTGACAACGCAGAGAAGTTTAAAGCGGCTGAAATTAAAATTCCGTTATTTATTTCAAATGTAAACAAAGAAACCTCAGAAGAGGACATTTGTGAATACATTAAAAACAAAACGTCAGAAGTAATTTCACTTGAAAAAATAAAAATGAAAAAGGCAAGACCGTACAACGCATATAAAATATTTGTAAATAAAAATAAATTGGAAATATTTTTGAATGATCAGATTTGGCCCGATGGTATCACATTTAGGCGTTTTATACATTTCAAATATAGAAAAGAGGAAGGAAAATCCTTCTCACAGAGCGAACGAATAGACACAATAAATGGATAATTCTTCAAAATTAAACATAATAACATTTAATTGTAAAAATGTCAAGAGGTCAATGAACTGTGTGCGATCACTGTGTATGACAGCTGACATTGTGTTGTTACAAGAGACATGGTTATATCCACATGATTTATGTTATCTGGAAAACATAGATCATGAGTTCAGCTACACTGCGAAGTCTTCTGTGGACACGTCAGCTGGTATTTGTAAAGGTAGACCCTATGGAGGACTTGCAATACTATGGCGTAAAAGTACATTGAGGTGTGTGACTGTAGTGCAATGTGATAGTGATCGGATTTGTGCAATAAAAGTAGTCGAAAATGACAAAAGTTTTATAGTTATAAATACGTATATGCCGACGGATTGTTGTGAAAACCTCCCAGGTTTTACGGAATGTCTCAGTGAAATTATTTCTATAATACACTACAATAATATTGAATCTGTTTATGTGCTGGGGGATTTCAACGCACACCCGGGTGAGGCATTCTTTAAAGAGCTTCTTAGTTTTTGTAATGAGCAAGATCTGTTGTGTGCTGATATAAATTATCTTGGTATTTCCTCTCAAACATATACATACATAAGTGACTCGCATGGGTGTAAGCGTTGGCTAGACCACTGTCTGGCAACGCATGCGGCGGCAAAAACGGTTGTAAACATTGAGGTTATGCTTGATATATTTTGGTCAGATCATTTTCCTTTGAAATTAGAGTGTGACATCAACTTGATTAAATCAAAAACTAGTGTGAGTAAGCCCTCTTATAGCGGTATTCGGTGGGGGGAACGGAACGCTGAGGACATTGCAGGTTACTTACAAATGTGTAATAATAAGTTAAAAAATATTGAGTTTCCTAAGCAATTTGAGCGCTGTGCGGACTGTTTCTGTAATAACTTTGAACATAAGAGTCTATTAGATAAATTGTATAAAAATATTATTTGTATCTTAGGTGATGCTGCTTGTAAAAGTAGAATGTTAAGAGCTAGTAAGAGGAATTATAAGGGCATAAAAGGGTGGAACAGGCATGTTAAAGAGTTTCATTCACAGGCTAGAGTTAAGTTTCAGATATGGATGTCGCACGGGCGACCCAATAGTGGGCGTATATTTGACGAAATGAGATTAAGTCGCACAATATTCAAATCAAAATTAAAATGGTGCATAAAAAACCAAGAAAAAATAGAAATGGATATACTGGCTTCATTATACAGTGCAAAGAAATTTTCATCATTTTGGAAAGGTACTAGAAAATTAAATATTAATCCGAGCCTTCCAATTAGTGTGGGGGGTAAGAGTGACCATGCGGAGATAGCAAATTTGTTCAGAGAACATTTTAAAGTGAGCTCACCTCTTGAATCACGACCGAGGGAGAACGATGCTGAGTATTATCAATCAGAATCCCCTATAAGGTTAACTTGTAAAGAAATAAAAGATGCAATTAATAATATGAAGAGAGGTAAATCCCCTGGACACGATGGACTCAGCATCGAGCACCTTCAACATGCTGGTATACATCTGCCAGGAGTATTGACAATGTTCTTTAATCTCTGTATAGGACATTCTTACTTACCACAGGAGATGCTGGACACGATAGTTGTACCTATAGTAAAAAATAGGACGGGGGACATAGCGGACAAAGGTAACTACCGGCCAATTTCATTGGCGACTGTAATGGCTAAAGTATTTGACAGCGTGCTTGACTCTCGCATCGGTGCATATGTACAGTTACATGATTCACAGTTTGGTTTTCGTTCAGGGTTGTCAACTGAGAGTGCCATTTTCGCGCTGAAGCACGCTGTCAAGTATTATACAGATAGGAAAACACCAGTGTATGCTTGTTTCCTAGACCTGTCAAGAGCTTTTGACTTGGTTTCCTATAATATCCTGTGGGAGAAGCTTCGGGGGAGCGGCGTTCCTGCTTCGATTATATCTATACTGTCCGTCTGGTATGATAAACAGAGAAATTTTGTTAAATGGTCACATGTATTGTCTGAGCCATATAAGCTCGAGTGTGGGGTGAGGCAGGGAGGTCTTGGTTCCCCGAGGCTTTTCAATATTTACATGAATGAATTACTTGTTAAACTTAGCAGCACACATGTCGGATGCCATGTCGACGGTTTATGTGTAAACAACTTAAGTTATGCAGATGACATGGTGTTGCTGAGTCCCTCAATATGTGGACTTAGAAAGTTAATATCAGTCTGTGAAGAATATGCTGAGCAGCATGGCCTAAGATACAATCCTAATAAAAGTGAATTGTTGGTATTTATAGGAAAAAATAAAAGACCAAAATGTGTACCTTCTGTACAACTTAGTGGGAAAATTATAAAAATAGTAAATGAATTTAAATATCTAGGACATATTGTTACTGAAAATTTAAAAGATGACAAAGATATCGAAAGAGAACGTAGGGCGTTGGCTGTGAGGGCCAATATGCTGGCTCGAAGGTTTGCTGGTTGTACGTTACCTGTTAAAATTACTCTGTTTTAAGGCTTATTGCCAAACATTTTACACCAGCAGCCTTTGGGCTAGCTGTACCCAAAGAGCGGTCAATACCCTGAGAGTTCAATATAATAATGCCTTCAGGGCGCTCTTGGGGCTCCCATACCATTGTAGTGCGTCAGGCATGTTTGCAGACGCTCACACCGATGATTATTTCGCAATAATGCGCAAGAAGGTGGCGTCAATAATACAAAGGGTAAGGGTTAGTTCCAACAGCATCCTGAAGGTATTTGCAGCAAGACAGGATGGGCCGACCATGGGGAGGTTTATCAGGCTACATGTAAAAAGTGGGGCCGGGTCAATCTCCCTGTGGTAGGTATGTATTCATTGTTTTTTATTTTTATTATATATATATTTTTTACTAACATAGTTTTCTAAGTAATTATATTGTGTACTAACCAACTATGAGCCTATGTTGCTTGAGAATAAAAGATTTTTATTTTATTTTTTTTTATTTTATTTTGTAGGTGGTAGAGCCTAGTTGTGGTCAATAACTACAACTCGAACATGGGCTGGCTCGACCGGGGAAGTACCACCCTCTCACAGAAGATCGGCGTGAAGTAGTCTTCATGGCTGCGTTTCGTCCGATGAGTGAGAGAGCCGGTTGCCCTTTCCCTATTTCTACCCTTTCCTATCATTTCCTGATTCCCACCCCTCCCTATCCCTAAAAAACAAGGTTGGCAACGCATCCGCAACAAAGATGTTACGGATGTCCATGGGCGACGGTAACCACCTTCCATCAAGTGGGCCGTCTGCTCGATTGCCACCATTCACATAAAAAAAAAAAAAAGGTTATTTTTGTTTTGTTTTATACATAACTAGCTTTCCACCCGCAGCTTCGACCGCGTGGAGTTCGGTTATATCGCGTTTCCAAGAGAACCTTTCAAAAGTATGGAATAAAAACTATTCTATCTGTTCTTTCTCAAGGTCAACTCCATCTCTGTACCAAATATCAATAAAGCAGTTGAGTAGTTTAGGCGTGAAAGCGTAACAGACAGACAGACAGACAGAGTTACTTTTGCATTTATAATATTAGCAGGGAAGTAGGGATATGTATAAGTAAAAATATATGTAATTTTATCTATTGAGACCATTCGACTCATATATTCCAAACTATTGTTGTTTAATCAAAGTCTACATCAGTCTCATAAAAGACCTGTAATTTCAATCTTTTACTTTGAGAAATGAATAACTTGTTATATAAAGTATGTTATCATACAATGACAGTATACAAATATTTTTTAGGTTCTATATTTCTTTTGTGCAAATTATATAAAGTCAATTATGTATTAATAATAACTGTAGGTAGCTTAAAATCATACATTGATAGAAATATAGATAAGAGTAATGAATCAAAATTATCTTTGATAAAGGTTTTGATTTAATACGAATATTTATGAGGCGATAGCATCTAATTTCATGTTTGTAGTGAGCCGCAACTCAATATTTGTCATACCTATTATGAGTTATCATTGTAGAAGAGACTCCAACTTTTTTTAAATATTTTTATGAACGTTTGTATAATACCGAGTAAAGGTCTGAGGAATATGAAATAATAATTTCATTATAATTATGATGTTATGTTTTTATTATTATTAAATACATGTCAATAAATTAAAAATAAATTAAACTTTTGACAACTGTTTAGTTCGTTACACAGATGTGATTTAGAGCAACATGAGAAATATTTTTTTGTATACCAGTTTCAAGAAGTTCAGTTTTCAGCAATAACTTTCATAATAAACCGTTCTACATACTTAAAGGGATTTCTCTTGTAATTGCTTCTTCTTCTTTAAATATTTACTTAACCTGACCCTAACTTTTACTTTCACTTCTAATCTTTTGAGAAGGTCCTCTAGTTCTGGATCGTCTTCCTCTTCTTCTTCTTCAGGTGCGGGTGTGGTAGGTGTTGTGGGGGCCAAGGAAGTGGAAGGTGATAAAGTAGTAGTAGAAGGTGCTGCAGTTGTAGTGATAGGGCTCAGAGTAGTGGTAGACGGAGCATAAGTGCTACTAGTGGTAGAAGGGGCTGAGGTGGAGGTAGTAGTAGACGGAGCGGAAGTGCTGCTACTAGTGGTAGAAGGGGCTGAGGTAGAGGTAATAGTAGATGGAGCGGAAGTGCTACTACTAGTTGTAGAAGGGGCCGAAGTAGAAGTTGTAGACGGAGCGAAAGTAATAGTAGTCGGAGAAGCTGTAGTCGTTGGTGCGGCTGTGGTTGTGGAAGTAGGCGTAGTAGTTGTTTCATCTTCTACAGGGTTCTCAAAATCAATACCAGAAATTTGGGTGAACCAAGAATGGAAAGGTCCAGGACGAATGAAAGCTGAAAAAGAAAAATTGTTTGAAATTCTTGATTTAAAGATTTCTCTTTTAAGTATATAAATATTCACCTCCGGGTATTCCTGAATGACAGCCGATAGGTGCGCTTGCCACGAAGGAGCTCACTCCTACGAGGGTATGTACATCATCTGAAGAAACATGTACTAAAGGTCCACCACTGTCACCCTGTTTAAGAATGTTAAAAAAAATTCGTTTAGCAATTCTTTTGGTTTGGTAAAACATTCATGACATTAATTAATAGCTATAACTTTTCTACGCAATCTTATGTTATGTAGGAAATTGATTAGTATGTATTTGTACTTTAAAATGAATATAATATTAAGATTAAGGAACTTTGGATAATTGGTTACTGGCTACAAAGACAATCATTACTACGACAGTTTCTAAATACCTGGCAAATTGATTGAGAGGTAACATTGAAGAATTTGGCGCAAATGGTGTTTTCAGTGACGTATTTTGAGGTAAATATATTTGTGCATGCAGCATTTGAGACTCCACGAAGATAGACCCAGAGGAGATGTTCAGTTGTGGGCCCTATAAAAATCGACACTTTAATATTATAATTGAAAATAATAGCTTTATACATTAATCTATATATTTTTCCTTAAAGTTACCGTTTGTCCAAGTTCTACCAAATCCACTTGCATATACAATTAAGTCGTCATAGTTTTTGTGTGCATCAGCGGAAGACTGGATACGAATAGGCTTTAAATATTCTGAAATAATATTATATACTTTCTAAGTAATTAATAATTAATGAAAATTGTCTATTTCATGTTCCTTTTACTCTGGATCAGACTGTGTTGACTAAACCATTTAAAAATGTACTTAACAAATGATAATGATTATTTAAAAATTCTTTGAAGTTATGTGGTTTTGGTCACAGAATAATAACTATCTAGTCACTTATAAGAAAAAATAATTATAACGTTTAATAAATGTAGGTATAATAATTTAAATGATTATTTACTTACGTGAATACGTTAATGAAATCTGCAACTTTACCATAGCTATATCATTAGGCTGAACAAGACCTGGATTTGTTGGGTTATAAGTTGGATACATATAATATTCCTGTGTTTCTGTGAAAAATTCTGGTCGAGTTAAATTAGTAACACCGGCCCGAACGAGGATCGTTACTTGTCTGTAAAAAAGTAACAAATTAATATATTTACCAACGTCATGGTATAATGTGTAGCTAAATGGAGTAATGCCTTTACATACATACATATTTAAATTTGATTCTGATCTTGCATTTTAAACGATGGCCGTGAAATTTTAAAGGTATTGATTTAGATTTTTGATAATTTGAGAACTAGTTTGTGTGTTTCCTTCGTTTAACTTACCTTGCTGTACAATGCGCTGCACTGATGACCCATTGACGGGAAACGATACTGCCTCCGCAGGCTTGAACGGTTCCCACATTATTCACCATACGCAAAGAAACCATATGAGGGTGCTGACCGGGATAGGCCTTCCAGCCTGATACGATTCGAGCGTCCCATGCCTCTGTTAAATTCATATTCCATATACTATTGGTTTTATTTACAATTATTACGTAATAGTACTTAAACATAAGAGTTATTTTAATCTATACTAATATTATAAAGCTGAAGAGTTTGTTTGTTTGTTTGTTTGAAAGCGCTAATCTCCGAAACTACTGTTTCGAATTGAATAATTCTTTTTTTGTTGAATAGTCCAATTATCGAGGAAGGTTTTGGGCTATATAACATCACGCTACGACCAATAGGAGCAAAGATATAGTGGTAAATGTGTAAAAAACGGAAGAAATCATTTCATCTTTGAAGCCTTCCGTTGCGTGCGCCGTGAAAACGGTTCAGGATACACAAAAAATATGTAGTAAAGAATAATAGCTCTTTTAATGATCGAAAAAACAGTCCGCGACAGTATATGTCTATCTTTTAAGATTAACTCACAAAAACCGTTTTTATGGTACCTAATTTGGTCGAAATAATTTGTTTAAGTTGTATCAACATAATAATATTAATCTTTATTCAAATAAACAAATAAATATGTTGTTGGTTAAGAGTACTTCATTGTGAATTAAAAAAAAACATAGGTTTTATCTTGAAGATTCTACGGGAACTCGACCATTCCGAAAACCCCGCAAGAACGGGAACTATGTGGGAAGAACCAAAAATCTGCTGGAAGTCACTATTCCACGCAGACGAAGTCGCGGCAAAAGCTAGTAACATATATGCGTCGAATAAAAGTCTGTTGTATACATACATTTTATAAGTACATATATATAAATCTTAAGACCTATTTTTAACACCCTATTGGCAAAACATTTATTGCACCTACATACATATGTACGTGACTGACAAGTAACAAGTGACAATAAATACTATAGTAGTTATAATAATCTCTACAGCTGAAAATGTCATAATACCATTTCGTTCGCTTCGATTTTGGCTCAAAGAGAAGTATTTTAAAACAGTAAATATTGTAACCAACATCTAAGATAGTCTGATTTTACCGTAATCTATAGGAGATAGGTGGAATGGGGAGACAAAATTACAGACTATTCTATTTTCTGTTGTCCAACTAAATTACTGTTAAAATTTATAAAAAATCATAGTAATTATTTTGAGAAAAAACAATAAATCAATATCTTTACATCCTTATAAACATTCGCATTTATAATATTTATTTAAAGGCCATTCCGATATATATATCGAATACCGATAATAATCTTTTAATTATATCTATTCTTACAAGTTGCGATGAAAATCTATTAATCTTTTTTGATAGCGATACCGTAAATCTTGATCTACTATGTAGATAGTAACTATGTATTAATGTTTTGCAAAATAAAAAGGCCTGCTAACGAAAAGAATTAATATTTTCGCCTGCCTTAACAGAATAACTGAATAAAATCATTTCTTACGATTTTAATACACACAAAATTATATTGAACGAATAACTTATTTTTTTAGTATATATCTTGTCAAGATAAAATTATAGCTTTAGCTGTGGAGGAAGACATTGTTTTAAAAAATATCACTGGTCGGCGTCCAGAACTGATCAGACTTTAATAGGTCTTACCGAAGGGTAATTTCACAAGCATCTATCATTTAGATGATAGTTTTTGAAAGAACAAACAGATGATGTAAATTTAGTTCAGTATGCTTAGCGCAAGCTTACACCTTTACTCTTTAGAGAAAGTCTTTTCCCATTTAAGCATGACCTATGAGACTATTAAAGCCCCGTTTGCAGTTTGGTGATGTATAATTGACTTTAGCGTACTGAAAGGTTAAAAATTAATCTCATTAAAATCTCCAGTATTAATATAATATAGTTTGTATTTTTAATTCCCATAAACATGTGTAGAAAATAATGAGAGCGTTGGTGGTGCAGAAGATCAAACATAAGGATATAAAGTAACAAAAATATACGCGTTATATAAGTTTTTGGCAAAAGCTGGTAAGTTTGGTGGGTTTACATTCGCATTGTAAAATCCTACTAATACTAAAATATTAGAATAACAGTAAATTTATGAAGACTCATAAAGAAAATAATCAAACCTTCTTTACCATCTGATTAAATTATAAAACCATTTAATGATTAAAAACAAATTTGAACTACATACCTTTATTGTCGATGTTTTCCAAGAATCCTGGAGTTACTTGCTCTCCGAGTACCTGTAATAGAATACTTTACGTATTAAATAAAATATGATTCCTTTCTGGATTTGGAAACACAGATATTTTTATCTAAATATAAGTAATATTATAATTTTAATAAAAAATAAATTCTTTAGTAAATGGTTCAGCCTTAATCCTGAATATTAGGGATGAAAATTATATCAAGAATATTTTTCGTTCTATACCTGGTTGGTAGCCAGAGCCAAACCAAACAATACCGCTAGCCACAACATTCTTAGGTATACTGATAAATATAATTTAAATTCACTGTAATGATACTTATCAATCAAAATTCGCAATAATCACATAATCATAGAAAAATATTAATTAGAAAATCTCAAACGAAAATCTAAATCAATAAAATTTGTTTGGGTTCCACGAATTTACAGCTTATACACGGTGAATAAAATACTAAAAAAAAAACTAATTTGTAAATTATAAGCAAAAACTATTTAATTTTTAACATAGAACTCTTTTTTATTTTAGATCATAAAATTAAATATAAAAACTGTAGAATATATAATCCTAAAATTAAGGATGTACCTACTACATAATATGGATGTATATAACATTTTGAGAGTGTTTTGTCATTCGTTTCTGAATTATGATATACTTAGAATTTATTATAAAAATATTAGAAGAAAAATTTTCGCAAAATATTTGTTAAATCTCCTCTTCAATAAGTAATATGAAGTGTTTGCAAAAGAGACTACTTTGATATTAGGATCAAGCAGATCATCAAATATAATAAAAAAGGGATGGAAATATGAATTAGAAGTGAATGACCATTCCACCATATTAATAGCGATAGATTTGGGTTAGAAAAATATGACCAAAATAAAAAACGAATTTAAAGCGAGTTAAAGCTCCCTTTTCAATTGAATGAAATAACATTTTGGTAAATTAAAACCTGACTTTCTGTAAGGAAGATATACATAATCTTGAAGTTTCAACTTTTAAACTCTTGCTATCAGCTTATACTTTCATGCGAATGGCTAATATTTAATTAAATTTATTCTATAATGTAATAAATAAGAATACTTGATCAGAAAAAAATATATGAGTGATTGCTACAAATTTTAATAATTTATTTATAGCTATTAGTAACTAAGTACCTAAGAATATTAAAAAGCATATCTTAAATATTAGAGCTTGCAAGATTGTTTCTCTTGGTTTTTTTGATTTTCAGAGCTTAACATTCTTCAAAACATTAGCAACTGGGTTCCTTTAATACAACAAAACTGACATTTATATTATGTTATAATTATATTGTTTTGTTATTATATATATTATTATACATAACCTACATCTTGTCTATACCACTATCATTATACTTGCTTTTTAGGATTCATGTTTGTATTCGATAAAAAATTTAAAAGATAACATCACATTACTAAACAATAAACAATCTTACGCTATTTTTCTATTAGAAAACATTATAATTGTAGATAAAAATATTTGATTCGAAAATGTCATACCTATAGAAAGCAAATCTGTATCTATTATATATTTGGATTATATTCGAATCAAAATTCAAAAATTTCATGCCCCTCAATTAGAAAAATTTCATTTCATCTCATCAAACTTACTATTTTTTTTTTAAATAAACTACGAGTTTCGGACCTTTCGAGATTTCAATAATTTTTTACTTGATGTCTCGAATATTATTTAGTAACCGCAAAGTTAGAGGAGGTGAAAATAATTTTAAATTTTTCTTTCTTTTTTCTTTCTTAATTTTTTATGGACATGGAATTTTATGTTTTTGGATCCTGTGTTGGGTCAGAAACAGTTATCTTTATATTCTTTTTACTTCCTGATAGATTTTGGAAAACATTTGTCTTCAATCAAGATACTGTTTTTTTGTCAAAATGGAAGTAACGGGTGGGCTGGGCTCATCCACTCACTTACGTTCCCAAAATGCTGACTTCAATTCACGTCTATTTGTAATATTATGTAAGATATGTTCCTCAACTTTTGTTGCGATGTGCCTCTTAATATGTCAAGTTACTTAACTGTTAAGTTACCTAAGTTTGTATACATCAGGTAAAGGAATTTTATTCTCAGTTGGTCTCAAGAATTTACTACTACCTATATTTTTTTTATTTACATATTGCAACCTTTATTAAGGTATTATTAAAGTGTCAGTAACTTAATAGTTACTAATACATTAGGTACATCCTAACAACAGCAACAAATGGTCCTTGCAAAGCAAGCGAGGGACGATAATTTTTTCACGATAATATCATGCTTTACATGGTACAGCTTGGCCTCTGGATTTTCAGCACCGCGAAGTTGTCACACTTTAAAAAAAGATTTGTCAACAGTAATAATGGACAACGGTGGTGACATTTGAAATGATAATCTGTACCTAAGTGGGGGTTTCCTATAAACAGTGTTAACATTTTTATATATTTAAGAAAGAGCAAAGAAATTTATCTATAATTCTCTAGTGAATTCAATTTTAGTATTAAAAGAATTAAGGTAATTATGCAAAGGCATTTTTAATAAATATTGTGGAGATATCATCCATTTTTATAGCAAGGGTTTGTCTGAAGCTAAGCAAAAGAATAGCGCCATGTAGTTCTCCATATATTTACTGGCCACAACGGAGAACCCATCGTAATTCTAGCAAATTATTTGTAGAATTGATCCCTTTAAATAGGGTATCCAGATGTTAGGGAATCCTTAAAGAATTCCGTATATTCTAAAAGTAGGTATGTTATTAAATTGGCAGGTGTCAGAGCCTAGCTGTAGTCATATAAATACCTACAGCTGGAACATGATCTGGCTTGACTGGGAACGTATTACCCTCTCACAGAAAGTCGGTGTGAAGAAGCTTTTAATGGCTGTGTTTTATTCGATGAGTGAGAGAATCAGTTGACTTTTCCCTATTTCCACCTTTTCCTGTCATTTCCTTTTTCACACCCCTCCCTATTCCTAAAAAAACAAAGGTTGTCCATGAGCGACGGTGTCTACTGACCACCAAGTGTGCCCGTTTGCCACATGTAACATAAATAAATCTTTTTACTTTCTTTTTACATCGGGTGCAGACATCACTAAGTAAACTAGTAAATTTACTGGAAATCGAAACTAACTATACTGTCTCCATCGATTTTTAGATGTTTAACAGCATTATAAATTGATAGGATTTTTTAATATATGATTTTCTACGTCCTTAGAATGGTTGCAGTATCCTTGCAATATGTTTGGTCAGATTATTATATGTCAGTGAATTAATCTGGCTCACAATAGGATGTAAAGAAACATACATATTGTTTATGGATCTTTGGTATAAAACATTTCACATCTAAGATAGGTACTATATTTATTAATAATTTCTAAGATATCATTACTATTATCTTCAAATAAAAATTATCAAAGATCAAGTTCAAGTAGTCTAGTTGATATGATACCTGTCCACTGATATAAAGATTGCGTTTCATATAAAATTCTATAAATTTCATCATTACCTAAACGCTTTTCTAATATTTTAGTTTGCATTAACGAGGCCCAAGAGGCAGACTATTTTAAAGAACATATGTAACTTCAACCTACTGTCTTTATGGATATGCCTGGATATTAAGATATGATAATCATTTTTATTGACAGCCCTTATACAGTGCCCTACCATTGCCAACGCGGTTCTGAAATAGCCGATATACCAACGTTAAAAAATTTAAAATCAAAATATCAGTGCTACGGCAACGATATATCCATATATTTTCCAAAATCTCCACACCTGTCGAGAGATAAATCCTCTACTATAAGTGCAAATATTTTAGGTATATTTCAATTTTTATGAGTCAAGTTTTGGATTAACCTGGACAAACGGTTACTGCAGACCTCTACAGCGAACAATTGCAACGAGTCAATCAATCTTTAATTGAAAAGTGGCCAGCGATTGTCAACCGAAAAGGCGTCATTCTCCAACATGACAATGCAAGACCGCCCTGCGCAAGGCGAACTCTAGAAAAAATTAATGAATTGGGGTGGGAGGTGCTGCCTCATCCACCATATTCGACCGATGTTGCACCATCGGATTTCCACTTATTCCGAGCGCTGCAACACTTTTTAAGTGGCAAAACATTTGCCATCTCTAGACATTTTGCCGAAAAACCAATTAATTTTTATCGATCAGGGATTGAAAATTTACTCACTAGATGGCAAAAGGTTATTGACAATGATGGGGAATACATCATTGATTAAAAATAAAGTCTCGTTAAAAATGTATGTGTTTGTATTTAGCGTTATAAACCGACATTATTTTCCGGTCCCCCCTAATATTATTACCGTCTTCATCTTTATGTTTCGCGCGTGCCTCTTTGCTAGCCAGGATCTCTTATTCTCTCTCGTCTAGCTTGGCTTGTTTCAACGCTTTACATTTCTCCAAAGTCGGCTTCCCTTCTAGACCCGCAGCTATCAGTAGATCCAACATCTTAGCCACACGTTCCTTATTCTTTGTGCATCCTGCGAGTTATAACATAAATTTAATTAATAGTTCAATTTATTGCAGGGAGAGGAGCTTCAACAGTGCCTGAGATTTGCGACCCAGGTTTAGGTTTAAAGGGCCTCCATCTAACTCGTTAATTAGTTCTGGATAGGTCCAAGTCTTTTAGCCATAATGAGGTACATTATCATATTAATCTTGTATATATACGTACCTTCAACGAGTTTCTTATAGTCGAATCTAATGCCGGCCGCTTTGCAGAACTTCTTCATATCAGTTATGCCAGGCTGGCGTAGTTCCGGCGGGACCGGCGGCCTCTCCTGGCGACCACTCCCGCTCCCGAGAGTGCGGGATGACGCGTTCTTGGAACCTTTCGGCTGACTTGGACCGGGCTTGGGTGACATATCCTGGGAATAAACACTATGCATGAACGATCTGATACTATCACTATAATTTGTTAATTAATCTATTATAACTGTTTAGTATTATTATATTTTTACTACAGTCTACGGTTAATATACTAGTCAAAACAAAATAAGGGCCACTTGTTTATTTTGACGTTTGAAGCGATCTAATAGATTTTAAGCTATCGGTACCGGTTAAGTTTTTTTGTGGCGTTACATTAAGTGTTGACAAACATTTTGAGAGTATATCACTTACTTAATTTTTGAAGTGGGTCGATTATGAATTTTTTTTTCAAAGTCACTAAAAATTACTCTATTTGAAGTCGACTTTTGGAGTCATTTAAACTGTCGAGTTCTTGGTGAATTGCAGGAATTCCCTTTG